GGGGGGGCCTGATGTTGTTTCGGGGCCTGATTCTGGTTGGGGAGGGCGGGCCTAACTCTAAGAAAGGGAGTGTGGTGGCAAGACTGGGTCTCAGCACCCCAACTGTCAAGGCCGGGGACCGTGACTATGAACCTCGCGCGCCCAGCACGGGCGACAGCCAGGCCCGCGGGAACTGGGCGCTGCTGGACCAGGTGGCAGCTCTGCGCTGGGTGCAGGAAAACATAGCAGTCTTCGGTGGAGACCCAGACTGCGTGACCCTGTTCGGCCAGTCGTCGGGGGCCATGTGCGTCTCAGGACTGGTGAGTGCAGTGCTCAGACGGACACAGCACAGACGTAGGCCCGCCTGTTCCCACAAGTGTGTCCGCTGCACAGACACATGTGCAGATTTGTGTACATGAACATGCCAGTCCACAGGCTTGCCCTCAAGTCTGCCATGGGTGCTGCCTCTCGCAGCCAAGGGTGTTTGCTCTGTTCAGGGATAGCACTGATGAGAAAATAAAGCCCCAGGGAGGGTAATGCTGAAGCTTTGGATACTCAACACCTCCCCAGTGCCCACCTTCCCCTGAGCTCTATTCCTGAACATAGCCCTCCATCTGCCTTCTGGGCAGAGCTGGGGCCACAAACCAGGCTTGAGAGTCAGAGGCTTGGACTGGACACTGGGCTTTTCCCCTGACTCCTGGCAGACTGCTGACCTGAAGTGTGCCTGGAGTGTGGGTGTAAGGTAAGGTGCCCTGTGAGGAACATGTGGCTGGGAAGTGAGCAGGGACCACATCACACAGGGCTTTGCAGGCCGCAGTAATAATAATATTCAAATACTGAGCACTTTCTTTGTGCCGGGCACTCTTCTAAACACTTTACATGTATTCATTCATTTAATTCCCTCAACAGTCCAAAAAGAAAAGTATTGATGTCCCTACTCTACAGATGAAGACACTGAGGCCCAGAGAAGTTAAGCAACTTTATCCAAAGTGCACTGGAGAGCAGAGAAAGATTTGAAGCAGGGAAGTAATATGATCAGATGTGCATTTAGAGAAATAGCTCAGTCTGCTGCATGGGACTGAGTTAGAAAGAAGCAGGATCAGAGACTTGGAGACCAACTGAGAGGATAGGGGGGTGCTAACTCTCAGATGAAATAATGGGGGCTGCTCATAAAATAGCAGCAGGAAGGATGGAGAGTAGAGAATGGTTGCAGAGTGGTGTAAGAGGCCAATGGACAGAACTGGGGAAGCTGGGGTGTGGGGATGAGCAGTAGAAGGCCCCTGGGGCTGGATGGATGATGCAGCGTAAGGGATGCCACCCAGATGGGGATTGGCTGAAGCAGATTTGGGGCACGTGAAGTCTGAGGTATCCAAGGGACAGGATGGGAGGCCCAGGATGTACTTGTTCCCCAAACTTGGGCAATGCAGAGAGGCTCAGCACTATTAGCACAGGAGAGACCCCCAGCTACCCCCCATTTTTAGTCCCAAAGCAGAGAGAGACCACTTCCACACGCCAGCAGGTTCCTTCCCACATTCCCAGATCTGGAGAGTAGAGAATGGTTGCAGAGTGGTGTAAGAGGCCAATGGACAGAACTGGGGAAGCTGCGTGTGGGGATGAGCAGTGGAAGGCCCCTGGGGCAGGATGGATGATGCAGGGTAAGGGATGCCACCCAGATGGGGATTGGCTGGAGCAGATTTGGGGCACGTGAAGTCTGAGGTATCCAAGGGACCGGATGGGAGGCCCAGGATGTACTTGTTCCCCAAACTTGGGCAATGCAGAGAGGCTCAGCGCTATTATCACAGGAGAGACCCCCATGTACCCCCCATTTTTAGTTCCAAAGCAGAGAGAGACCACTTCCATATGCCAGCAGGTTCCTTCCCACATACCCAGATGCCCTCTGGAACCCCTGGGGCCCATTGTACAGACCAGAGGCACTGGCCTTAGGTCTAGGACCCCAACCCAGGACTCCTGGCTCCCTCCCATCTGCTTGCTCTCCCAGGATTCCTTCAGGCTGCTCACCTCTCACCAGATGGGCTCCCAAAACAACCCAAGTGGCCGTACTGAGAATCTCATGGCTGCCCCACTCCCTTCCCTTACAGATGCTCTCACCTTTAGCCAGGGGTGTCTTCCATCGGGCCATTTCCCAGAGTGGCACCGCAGCACTCAAAGTCTTCATCGCTCATGACCCACTGAAGGTGGCCAAGGTGGGTACCTCTCCTCCAGGGCTCACTAAGGAGGGGCTGGATGGGGGTACCCCCAAGTACTCCTTCTTCTCTCTACAGAAAGTTGCCTGCCTGGCTGGTTGCAACCACAACAATACACAAATCCTGGTAGATTGCCTGAGGGCACTATCAGGAGCTGAGGTGATGCATGTGTCCAAGAAGATGGTAGGTAGAACATTCCAGCTGCCTAACCTGGCTGCCTGCAGTTCATTCTCCTATTCTGTCACCCCCAACTACTTCCCCAGGGACCCTGTCTCAGGAGCACACTGGGAAGACTTCCTTTAACTCTGATCCCCTCCTTTCCCCAACAGAGATTCTTTCATATGAACACCCAAGAACACCCTCAAGAGGTGAGCAGGCCACATTCTGCAGTTCAAGTGTTTAGTGAACAACTGCTGTGTGCCAGGCACTCAGGATACTCAGGAGATCAAGAGGCCGTTCAGGCCAAGATCCCTTCCCTAGTGGAAGGGATGTCAGTAGAGAGAGACAATAAACACTATAAATAAATTCACCTCCTTAGAAGGTGATAAGTGAATAGCAATAAATGGAGAGGGTAATGGGGTGGGCATGTTTAAAGGGCTGGAATTTAAAATAGAATGTATAGGGCATTGAAGTGACATTTAGCAAAGAGGGAGTGAACTACGTGGATACCTGGGGCAAGCATCCCAAATCCAAGTAGATTGGTCCTGTGATCCCCTCCCAGGGGTCACTATGGCCAGCCCCAGCTTTCTTCCAATCAAAGAGCCTAAGCTAAAGCAGCCTCTGGAGGGGGATCTGCTGAGCTGGACATGCAAGGTCATGGGGACCCTGGGAGGATATGTGGGAGGACTGGCTGGAAATGCTGCTTGCCTTGTAGATTGTATGGTTCATGAGCCCCGTGGTGGATGGTGTGGTGTTCCCAGATGACCCTGTGGTACTCCTGACGCAGGGGCAGGTTTCACCTGTGCCCTACCTTCTGGGTGTCAACAACCTGGAGTTCAGCTGGGTCTTGCCTTATGTGAGTAGGAGGGGTGATCACCCTATATGGGTAGCAGAGGATGCCTCTTGGGCAGTGGTGGACACCCAGTCAGATCCCAGTAGCCATTTTTGGGATGCCCAAGTGCTTGGGAGCCTCCTGTAGTCCCCATGCAATGAGAGCTGGCCAGAAATGACAGAGGGGAGGAGGAGAGAAGTATGGCCTCAGAGGTTTGAGGGACCCAAGTCCTCAGGTCATTTTTATAACATCCATTCCCAAGCTTCCAGTCAAGAGCAAATCCTGGGGCCCTCCCTTGCTCCTGGGTCAGGGTACATGCCTCGGCTCAAGATGGGTTCCCACCCCCCAGCCCCACTTTAGCTCTGGCCCAGCTGGTAGAGATGGACAGGAAGAGAATGGGAGGGCCCTTCCTAGGCTATGTTGTCTGCCTGAGAACTCACCATTTAGATAGGCAAGACTCCTGAAGCCTGGGGTAGCTCTGGCCAGAATCCCTCCCTGACCCCCACCTGGGTTCTTTTCTTGTGAGCAGCTCATGAAGTTCCCACTAAACCGGCGCATGATGAAAAGAGAAATTGTCAGCAAGCTGCTCTGGAGTGCCAGCACCCTGTTGGTGAGGGGCCCAGCTGGCAAGTGTGCTCAGTTTAGACAGGATTGACCCCCAGATTTTTGGTTGTTTTTTTGTTTTGTTTTGTTTTTTTACCTAGGAGCTCTTTGCAAGGGGCTCCCAGCCAAAGTAAGAGTCTTTCTTGGAAGGCCTGGGGTTTGGCATGGGATCAGATGGCTGCTGATGGGCAAGGTCCCCCCGGCATTCTCAGGGTCATGGGAGGCAATTCTCATGCAGCAAAAACAAGAGCAAGAAATCAGCAGAGAGGGAGGCCTTCCCAGGAAGCTCCCCTTTCCTGGGTCTGTGTCACTGGTGTGCCCACCTCTGGCCCAGCTGGCACGACAGGCCTCAAGGGTGGGTGTGGCCTCCCTGCCCAGAATATCACCAAGGAGCAGGTACCACTCGTGTTGGAGGAGTACCTGGGCAACACTGATGAGCATGACTGGAAGATGTTACGAAACCACATGATGGACCTAGCTGGAGATGCCACCTTTGTGTATTCAACACTGCAGACTGCCCGCTACCACCGAGGTACATAGGGACCCCAAGAGTGGCCACACTGGCCCATCCACTCTCCACTGCCTACCAACTGGGCTTTTCAACTGCTCACCTACCCTCTTCTGCACTTCTGGGCTGGTGTAGGATTCCAAGATGGCACAGAGGGGGCGATGTGCCTCCTCTCAACTGTAGGAGAGGAAGGGCTGTTCCTTAGCGTCAAGGGTGGGATCTCAGCCAGCCCAGAGAAGAGAGCCTAGGGTGGTCAGGGAAGGCTTCCTTGTAGAGAGGACAAGCTTAGAGGCACCTCAAAAGTCCTGCCCAGGCTCACTGGAGCTTAGGGGACATGCTGGTGAGAGGTCAAAGGTGAGGCAGCAGAGAGCTGACACATGACCCTTAAATGTTAGGCTAAGAAAGGAAGGTTCTGAAGAGGGAAGAGGAAGGCTTTCGTCTTCCTCGCCACAATCCACAAATTAGGTTTTAGCATCCCTAGTCTGCAGATGAGGAAATGCAGCTTAGGGAAGTTGGGTGATTTGCCCAAGATCACATAGCTAATGAGTAATGCAGACAGAATTCAAATTTGCTCCCTTGTTTCTGAAACCGAAGCTCTTTCTCCTGCTTGATGAACATGACTGGGATGCATGGGGTGGGTGGGAAACCCAGGATGAGGCTTTTCCTGCAGCCCTCCTCAGTTTCCCTGTTCACAGATGCTGGCCTCCCTGTCTACCTGTACGAGTTTGAGCACCACACTCGCACTGGCATAATTATCAAACCCCGCACTGATGGGGCAGACCACGGGGACGAGATCCACTTCATCTTCGGGAGCCCCTTCTCCAAAGGTGCTAAAGCCCCTCCTGACACCCCCACTGGGTGTCCAGTCTCCCCTTTTGTATGAGGACCCATCCCTCAATTGGCTGGCCACAGGGAGGTAGACAGTTCCTGATCTGGAATGTTCTCCCAAATGAAAGTCTTCTGCCACCAAGGCAGCGGCAGAAGAAGCAGGGTGGGATGTCAGCACCCCAGCTCTGTCTCAAATACCACATCCCATTCTGCACCCCCAGGCCCTTCCACAGGTGAAGAGAAGGCGCTCAGCCTCCAGATGATGAAATACTGGGCCAACTTTGCCCGCACAGGGTGAGTGTGGCCCCCTGACACATCTGGGCAATCTCCTGCCCAGCACTAGACCCAATGACTGGCTGCTTCCTATATTTGCCACTGAATGTCCCACAGGAACAGGCCGATCAAAGCATCCCTTCTTTCTCACCTTCTCCCAGTCATTTGCCGATGGTTTCTAGAATGTGTCCCTCTGTGTCCCATGCCCCACACTCTTCCTTCACCCAAGCATTCAACAGTCATTTGCCGATGGTTTCTTTTGTGCCCAGACCAGTACTTGGAGAAGACACAGACATGAGCCCCATCCTCCAGCAGCTCACCACATGAAAGCATAAAATTACAGTCTGGCATGATGAGAGCTGCACTTTGAGAGCATAGAGTAGATCTGACCAGTCTGACACAGTCTGGTTGTCAGGGGAGGCTTCCTGGTGGAGGAGACATCTGAGCTGAGCTTTGGCTGACCTTGTGACTGACTCTTCTCCTATCCCCACATTCTATTCTTTCTATCCATCCCCCTTATGACACTCGAAGGGCTTTCTGATATATCATCTGATCAAGTCACTCAACTGCTTAAAATTCTTCATGGCTTCCATCTGCCCCTAGGATAAAGTTCCAGCCCCTTTGCCCGACAGAAAAGGCCCTTCAAAATCTTTCCTGTGTCATCTCTTTTCCACATCCATCCCCTTAACACACACCCTGTTTTTACCTAACCCTATACTTGTGCTTCCTCCAAAGCTCTGGTCTCTCATATCTCTAAACCTTGCACATACTGTTCCCTCTGCCTAAAAGGCCCGCCCCAACACACGTTCCTACTCTTTCTTAAAGATTTGTCTAAATATCATCTCTGTAAAGCCCTCTTGGACCCCATCTCCCAAGAGGAAGGTAAGTGAGGGAAGGGTGAGAGAAGGAGGCAGGGCAAAAGAAGAGTATGAATAGTCCTCTCTTCTTCTTCCTCCTGGGCAGAAACCCCAATGGTGGGAAGCTGCCCTGCTGGCCCCGCTATGACAAAGATGAAAAGTACCTGCAGCTGGATTTTACCACCAGGGTGGGTGTGAAGCTCAGGGAGAAGAAGATGGCTTTTTGGATGAGTCTGCACCAGCCTCAAAGACCTGAGAAGCACAGGCAGTTCTGAGAGTGGCCATGCAGGAGGGAGCCAGAGGGCTTGTCCCATAACCCAGGCCCACAACCCAGGGTTGACTGACCATGGACACATCTGGGGATGAGTCCTGCCCACCCCAATCTGGGACTTACAGGAGCTCCCTACTCCCTGCAGGCCAGAACCAAATGTTGTTTGGGGCCCTGCACCACCCTCTCCAGCCTGACATCCCATAATGCCCTCCTACTTCACTGTCTGTATTGGGTTAGCCAGGCCCTTTCACTGCCACATTGCGCCCAGGTCCTCAGCCTCAGGACAACCCCTTCTGTCCCTTCTTCAAGTCTTCCCACCCTTTAAGATCTACTTGCAGCCCCTTCTTATGGGAAGTACACCCAGACTGCCACTGCCCCTGTCATTGCACCAGCTTGTCATTTACCATTCATCCTGCTCAAACTTGTGCTTGTTCACATTGGCCTTGAGGCCCTAGCCAAGTTATTTGTGACATGAAGCAAAGCTTTGGTAGCTATGGATCTTCTCCCCCTCCCATACTCATCTCCCCCAGGGCCTGGTCAAAGCCTGCACACAGGGACGGTCCTCAATAAAGATGTGTTGACATGAATTTCTCCATCTGTAAAATGGTTGAGTGAAGTGGATGCTGTCTCAATTTAAACCCTTGGAAGAAGGGAGCATTGTTGCCTGCTCCTTACTGGGCCGTGCCTGCTACACTATACTCAGTCAACGGGAGCTGCAGCAAAGTCGCCTGGGCTGCAAAACACTTAGCTTTTTTCTTCATTGTCTCAAGCGCACCCCTCAGGACAGCTGCACCCCATGCTCACTTGACTTGTCCATCAGTTTAGGTCTTAGTGCTGCATCCCAATTCCTCACTTTCTGGCCTCTATTGCAACCCAACCTGGGCATATCCCAGCCTGTCCCACAGCTTTTGTTTTGTTGGGGGTGAGGAGTTGCAGGCTAATACGTAACATAAAATTTACCATTTTAACCATTTTTAAATATACAGTTTAATGGCATGAAGTACATTCACAGTGTTGACAACCATCACCACTATCCATCTCCAGAACTTCTTCATCATCTCAAACTGAAACCCTGTGCTAGTTAGACAATAACTCTCCGCCCTCTCCCCAGCCCCTAGTAACCACCATTTTACTTTCTGTCTCTAGGAATTTGACTCTTCTAGGTACCTCATACAAGTGGAATCATACAATATTTGTCCTTTGGTTTCACTTAGCATAATGTCTTCAAGGTTCATTCATGTTGTAGTATGTACGAGTATCAGAATTTCATTCCTTTTTAAGGCTAAATAATATTCCATTGTATGCATATGCCAATTTTGTTTGTCCATCTATCCATTGATGAACACGCAGGTTGTGTGATATTCTGAAGTATATGTTCGGTCCTGTCCCTATCTGCTGTCATACAAGTCCTAAAATTCTCAGACGCTCCCAAAGTGATGAGTGTCTTTTTCCGAGCTAATGAGTTGGCTGATGGCTGGCAGCCCCTAGGTAGCTTTGGATGGGGGCTGGTAGCCAGGGGAACCAATTTAGTGATTAGAGGCTGGGGAACCAATTTAGTGATTTCAGCCCATCCCCCAACCTCTGGGGAAGGGGAGGTACTGAAGTTTGAGTTGATCACAAATGGCCATTGATTTAGTCAATCATGCCAATGTAATGAAGCCTCCATTAAAATGCAAAAGGCCTGGATTCAGAGAGCTTCGGGTTAGCAAACACATGGGGGGTTTTCACATCTCTTTGCCGGGAGGGTAGCACACCCCAACTCCAAGGGGACAAAAGTTCCTGCAATCTGGACCCTTTCAGACCTTGCCCTATGTATCTCTTCATCTGGCTGTTTATCTGTATCCTTTGTAATAAACTGGTAAATGTAAGTATGTGTCCCTGAGTTCTGTGAGCCAATCTAGCAAATCAGTTGAACCCAGGGAGGGGATTATAGGAACTCTGATTTATGGCTGATTGGTCAGAAGCTCTAGGGGCCTGGACTTATGACTGACATCTGAAGTGTGGGGCAGTCTTGGGGACCAAGCCCTCAACTTGTGGGATCTGACGCTATCTCCAGGTAGATAGTGTCTGAATAGATTTGAATTAAAGGACACCCAGCTGGTGTCCACTACAGAATTGGTTGCTTGCTTGCTGGTGAAAAGAAATCCCCACATTTATGCTCACGGAAGACTTCTGTGCTGATTATGGTGTGAGAGCAGAACAAAAATGGTTTTGGTGGGTTTTTTTCGACTCATTTTGTGCTTTTCCCACGGGTTGTTTCCACCTTTATCTATTGTGAATAATACTGCTATGAACCTTGGTGTAGTGTCCCCCAGGTTTTATGTCTCAAACTACAAAGTTGACTATGCTCTTTATTCCTGGGGGTTTCTGAGACTCTGGGGCAACTGGAAGCTATATTGATCTGTGGGATGAAGGACAACCAGTCTTGGTACCCCAGCATCTAACCTCCAAAAGCAAAGGGATAGCTGGAGGAGGGGTGAAAGGCCCTTTCAAGTAAACATTTATCCTCACAACAACCCTGTCACATAGATATTATTATTCCCATTTTACAGATGAGGAAACGGAGGCATGGAGCCATAAAAGGCTTTGCCCATGGTCATGAGCTAGTGTTGGCTGAGTGGGAATATGATCCAGACCTATCTGACTCACCCTGCACTTCCATCCAGACTTGGAGCAATCCCTGAGGGAGGGTGACCCCCATAGGAGGTGTGGCAGCTGCACTCTCAGGGGAGGCACAGCCAGCAGAATGTCCCTGCCCACCTCTATCCAGGAGACAGGCCGACAAATAACCACTCATCAGTGGGAGCCTAAGGGAGGCAGGGGGGTCTGGGGCAGTCAATGCAGAACTCAGCAGGGGCTGAGGTCCAGGTGGGTCTGATTTGCCCTAGCACCTACAGAGGACGTCCTGACTTGGAGGTCCTGGGGAACTCACCATATGGTCTGCTGGCACAGCTCCTTGGCTGGTCCAGGCCTGCCTCTGAGAGTTTCTCATTTTTTCCTCTGAAAAATAGTCTTTCATTGACCAAACTCTACTTAGCCTCCCCTTAAACTCTTTCCCAACTAGGCTTGACTTTTCGACTTCCATATTCAAATCTGCATTGTCCAATTTTAGCAAGAATCTTGCTAAATCAGTTTAACCAGAACCCCCACCCTTGATACCTGATTACCCTCCATATCTAATCGGTTTCCTCATCCTCCACCATCCCCAGGTGATGTCAGATACCCTGGCCTGCCTTCAGCAAGTATCCTGTTAACTGGGTTTAGCCAGAATCCCCCCCACCCCCATGTTTTCTTCCTAGTAATTTTCCATCCATTGACCCCACCCTGGTCCTTGACTATAAATTCCCACTCGCCCCTGCTGTGTTGGGAGTTGAGCCCTATCTCTCCCCCCACTGCACAACCCCATTGCAGTGGTCCCTACGCCTATTTCGCAGCTCCCGAATAAAGTCTGCCTTGTTGTGCTTTAACACTTGTCACCACTGATTTCTCTTTAACACCCCTCCTCAGGCTCTCTCACACAGGTCTGGGGAAGGGAACTTCTCCAAACAGACATCTGCCCAGAGGCCCTCCCTCAAATTAGAGGAGGTGCAGCTGAGCGGGAGCCAGGGCTCAGTCAGAGTCCAGCTGGGCTGTGGCAGATGTGAGAATCATGAAGGACCTTGGGGAAACTTTAGAACCTTTCTTAGAAGTCGAGCCTGGAAGAACTCCAGTGGGCAGGCTGGATGGTGGGCTGACCACTGCCTCCCACAGCCTGGACTCCAATCCCAGCGCATCCACCCAGGAAGGTGCCCCTCTTTCTGTCAGTTCTTCCCTGGGTTGCACTGACGGATGAGAGGGACGAGAAGGCTACCTACTACTGCCCTGTCTCCACCTTGTCTTCCTTCCCCGACTTAGGTTACCCCCGCCCCCCACCCCTGGCCACCCAGAGTCTTTCCTTCAGCTGCTGGCAGCGGTTCTCATAACTGATTGGATCTTGGTGAAGACCCTGGGTGTGGCTTCTTCCAACCCCCAGGATAACTCCGGCTTGTCAGGGCGGTGGCCAGGACGAACGCGCATCGGTGCAAAGCTCTCGTGGGCACACCATGCACACGCGCCTCCTGCAGACCCAGTCGTCCGACTCGGGCTGAGCCTGGCTCCAGGCTCCGGAAAGTGCGCCCCCACCACTCCCCCGCCACTCCTCCACTTTCTACTCGTCCAGCCCACCCGCACCCCCCAGCAGCAATTACCGGCCAAAGTGGCTGGGGAAGGGCCAGGTAGCAAATGAGATGCGGAGCCCCGGCTGACTGCAATCCCCGG